TGTGGATAATGGTCCATCCTCTACCCTGGGCTAAAAAATGACATGTAACAACTGACAATTTAAGGATATAGCTTCTCACCACCCTAATTCAATCTCTGAGCAGATAATCAGAGAAGCTGTATTATATGGAGAATGCAGCATCAGGATTGGTGGAAGGCTGATTAATGTTACTGGGCGGAAGCTCAAAGTTTCAAGCCTCTTCACTCCTGGCTTCTGGCCCTGCTCTCGAGAGAGATTTCAGGAGAGGGACAAATGCAGACCAGAGTCAGAGAAAAGGTTTGAACAGCAAGAATGTGGTTAATGAAGGGGATAGTTTGGAAATGAAGTCCAAAAGACCCTTAACTAGTCTAAAATGGTTGGCAAAATGTCAAGCTGGCCTTAATATTCTTCGAGTGGCAGGTCTCCCACTATAGGCTGGCTTTCTGCTGGGTCTTTGGTCATTGGTTGGCCCTCTGTGCTGTGCCTCCTCTTTCCAGATATGCGTATTGCAGCACCCCAGACTTCATGCTGCGCTCTTGTCTCAGACCCCAAACCTAAGTCTATTCTGTCACTGTGGGGGGAGTGTGAGCACCCTTTGTTTCTCCATTTAGCCTGTTCACTATCTAGTTTCTTCCATTGCTAAGAAAATTTGTCTTCGCTGTCCTTCATCTTCCATTTTGTTGGAAAAGTATATGTGGAAATGTGTCTCCACCTCTCCTTTGTGTTACAATTTCGGCCAGATCCCTTCCCTTACCTCCTTGACTCCCCTTGCCAGATTCTGCCCACCTATCATTTACAAACTGTGATCTACAGATGACACAACCTTGCTTGCTGAAAGTGAGGAAGGCTTGAAGCACTTGTTGATGAAGATCCAAGGGTTGCAGCCTTCAGTATGGATTAAAACTTAATATAAAGAAAACAAAAACTCCTCACACTTGGACCAATAGGTAACATCATGATAAATGGAGAAAAGATTGAAGCTTCAAGTATATAATCTTGCTTGGATCCACAATCAATGTTCCTGGAAGCAGCAGTCAAGAGATCAAATAACCCATTGCTTACACAAGACCTCTTTAAAGTTGAAAAGCAAAGAGGTTCCTTTGATGAATAAAGTGTGTCTGACCTAACCCATGGTACTTTCGGTAGCATTTCATGCATGTGGAAGTTGGACATTGAATAAGGAAGACAGAAAAGAATCGATGTACTTAATTATGATGCTGGCGAGAAATATTGACAGTACCACAGGATGCTGAAAGAGCAAACAAATCTGTCTTGAAAGAAGTACAGCCAAAGCAGTCCCTGGAGACAAGGATGGGGCAACTCATCTCAAGTAGTTTAGATGCGTTATCGTCTCTTTTATCAAGAACGCCCACTCTGTGGAATAGAATATTATGCTTGATAAACGAAGGGGCATCAAACAAGAGGCAGGCCCGCAGTGACCAGGACTGGCACAGCGGGGACAACAACGAGATGACACATAAGAACCGTTGTGAGGATGGCACAGACCAGGTGGGGTTTCCCTCTGGCGCTGGGGTCAAAACCAACTTGGCAGCACCTCCCAACAACAACAAGGGCTAACGTGGAAAACCTCCGCATCATTATAATTTACAGGAGATTGTATATTACCCATGTCATTATGGTAATTCCAGGAAATTGTTGCCAGAACAAAATTAACTTGCAACCCAATGTTTGCCATTTGCTTATAGAAATTAGAGATAATTTTTTAGACACAATAGACTGTTTAGATGAACAGATAGCTTGCTTATAAATTTACTTTTCAAGACACATTCGTGGTCCTTGCTGTTTTATGTTCACTAAACCTAAATTAAGTAGCCTTGGTTGTGTGGAGAGTTGTGCATTGTGCTACTTACCACAGGACAGCCCGGGAGACTCCCAGCTGTTCAGTGGGATAGAGATGAGACTTTCTACTCTTAGGAAGATTTGCAACCTCAGAACTCCACAGGGACAGTTCTGCTCTGTCCTATAGGATCACCATGAACTGGAACAGAATGCACGGCAGTGAGTGAGTGAATCCTAAATTATTATACTTTCAATATTGTCCAAACTTCATGAGGGAGTCTGCTTAAAACAACTTCAATATAAACAGCCAAACTTTATAAACCTTCCATTCTTACCAACTCTCTCTGAAACACTATCAAGATGATATCAAGGTGGAATAAGTCCTTACTGCAGCAATACATTTATACAATAATTTTTTCTTAGTTTATTAACAGATTGCTTGGTGATATTTTGGAGAATTCAACAAATTTCCTTTTCTTTTCTTGCCCTCCAGTTTCCCATTCTCTAACGTCACTGCTCTCCTCACTTTTCAAACTTCCCTCCTGCCGCTCTGTGTACTCCCTTTGCTGAGGATGCCATGCTTGTTTGACTTGGGGCGGGGAGGAGTGAGTGAATGAAATAAACCATAATACAACTTCCACAGGCTCTTTTTACTACATCTATTACCTTGCTTTACCTGTACCCAAATATTCTGTCTTTTCAGTCCTCATTAAAAAAAAAAAGTTGCAATCAAGTGGATTAAACGAGGGGTACACCCCAAAACAGAATTTTCTTTTATCACAAATGTATACTTCACTAAATAATACCTTATATCTTTTTTAATTTTTATGATCATGATATTAGACCATAAGTATTGTGTCTGGATTAAGAAGATTAAGAGTGAAGGGGTGGAGTCTAGTCTGTCAATCAGATCATAGCCAATGAGGCCTCTGTGTGGGCATGGCTTTCTCCTGAAAATTCCAGGAAATCTGATTTTTCCTCCTTGGAGGCAGGAAATACTTCTCACTCTCTACTGACAAGGCTGACTCCCAGCGAGACATTCCTGAGGAGAAGCCACATGGACCTACCCTGATACAGTCCTGGGTGCTGGAGCAGCTCCATGGAGACCCCTGCCAGCGCTGAGATGCTTACACTTTCACTGAATCCAAAGACTTTCTACCCACTGGCCTATGATCGTCCTGCATTCAGCATCATTGTATGTGTTTCATGAGTCTGAAGAGGACTTTACAGACCGGTATCAGACATATATGGGCTAATATCGGAATTTTGGGCTTGGACTGGACTGGGTTGGGATGCTTTCTTAATGTACAATTACCCTTTATGTAAACCACTCTCTTATACACATATGAGTGTCTACAAATTTGTTTCCCTAGTCTACCCAGACTAACAGTGCCGCTTGTAAAGATTCTGAGAATTGTAATCCCAAACACTCTATTTCCACAAGATGGAATCACATGCAAAGGATTTTGGGAAATGTATTCCCACTCACTGTTAATCATATAAAAAAATTACTTTTGCCTCAATCTCTGGCCAATCAACCTCCATTTGTGCTTCTCTGCTCTGTCCACTCCCCCTGAGGAATTTCATACCATAATTCTTTATGGGGTTAAAATCTGAGGTCTCTCCCTCTTTAGCCACTTTATGCTTACAGTAGAATCCCAGACCGCTATGCTAATCTGTTCTAGAAGGAGTAACGAGATGCCAAGCAGCTGAGTTCCGAATCAATTTTTCCCATAAGAAATAACTGAAAATGGGTTAATCCGTTCTCAGCCACCAAGTTTTTACCCTAGCCTTGCCTTTTTATACAGAACCGTACTCAGAAATTTCAAAGTAAATAAGTTCAGAGTTAAATAATATAATTTAAGTAAGAAACACGGCATTCAAAAAGTTTTTAACAACTACAGTATGGCCCATACCTTGAGATTGATGAGGATCTGGGTCTGTGGACACCGACTTGGAGAGGAGGGAGGAGAGAGAGAGAGTCCTTGTTTGGAAAGGGAATTCCCTTCCATCAAATCAACTGGTAGCTGCTTTCCAGGAGTTTTTCCCCCCTTTTTTGCTTCTTTTCACTAGGACCTGGCTGAATTTCTCTTAAAAAATAATCTGTCGAATGCGGTCAGCTGTTGGCCTTTCCCTAACTGTTTTCTAAAAGGGTTTACTAAGTTATGATCAACAATATCCCGAACACGGTTAAACAGTTTCTTCTCATGATGATTCTTTTCAAAACGCTTGTTTCTTAGGACCCATGTTTTTATCCCCAAATAGTACAAAAAGCCACAAACACTAAGAAAATTATAGCAAAACACTTGGAACACAGCTGCAAAAGGTTTAAATAACGTGCACTAACAATGCCAACTAACAGCAAGTGACCGAAACGGGAACTGCTTTAGTTTACAAAAATCACGTGTGTCGGGTCGATTGCGGTGTTTCGTTTGAGCCCCGATGCAAACTGTTCTCGACATTTCACGAGGAAATCTGATGAGGTCGCGTACTCAGGCGGTCGAGGACCCGGTTCTCCAGTATATAAGGTGACGTCATTCCGTTTGCGGGCCTGGAAACCTCTCCTAAAACTCTCTGTCTCTAGCGCAGCACGCTCTCGAGTGAGGACGCTTGACATGCTGCAGTCGTTCCCAGGGTCAGGCCTCCTCCTGCTCTTGAGTCTCAGTTTCAGGGAACGTCAAGGCCAGGGGTGCACATTGGAGCTCTGTCGTCCAGTCCTCTCGGCGCTGTCTGGCTCTGTTCCAGAAAGTCCTGGACCTACAGTCTTTCCAGAGGGTGGCCCCAGGGGCAACTTCCCACAAGGTTATAATAATGAGACAAAACTAAAACAGGGCTAGGAAATAGATTGTCACCCCATCAAAGTTTTATTTGCCTAAGAGCAAGACCAACAGCACATATCACTAAGCAATTCGTTTTTCTAAAGTTCCTTGGTGTAACTTTTTTGGAAATGACGGTCAGGTGTTGTTGATTTAACAGACCAGCGTGAGGCAGGACAAAAGAAAGATAATTTCTCTACCTGCAGGTTTTGGTTCCAAGGAGACGATCTTAAACGTGTTTCCTGTAAGTAAATTACCCTTGCCTGCTTTCCAGAGTTCATTAGGGAGAACTTCCAGGCCCTCCCTGTTCTCAGAGGTGGGATTCAACCGGTTCGCACCTGTTTGGCAGAACGGATGTTTTTGTTGAGGTCAGTGACGCGGTTCGGTTGTTTAAATGGCGCTTGTATACGTACCTGGCAGGGAAGACACCATGATCAGGAAGGTGGGCTTCCCGGGGAGAGGCTTGTCCATTGCACTGCGGATGTGCTGACCCCTGCAATTTCCCCAAATGTGGGAAGCTCAGCTGCATAATTTGTGGTAGCAGGGGACTGCGTTCGCGCTCTCCCCTAATAAGAAAAAAAAAAATTAAGAAGAGAAAAAAAACAATGGTGCTTGTAATCAGGTTTCTCTCTAAGGTGCTGGACAGCTTCCAAATTGGGAAATCACAAATTTACATTCCTTACTCATTTTTAATGTTTATTTTCACACCAGCATATTCTAAGCACCCATGGTAATGTTCATTCCATTCATAGGTATAAAAAATTAGAACTATGTTTGTAATATTTATTAGTTTCATAAAACTCATTATATTTTTATGAACTACTACATCTTTATTCCCTTGCATTTGTTACTTCAATAAACAAATATATAACATAAAGAGAAACAGTGCCAAACAACCAGAGGATAACACATGTGTTACAGGTTTGTTATACCCCCAAATTCCCAAGAGTATGAGTAAGTTATATAATTCCTGAAAGTGTTCAAAGTTTAGTGGAAATAGAGCGATTTTTCAAAGAATAAACAATATGTTCAGAGAAGAGAAGTAGCCCGGTTCTAATATATCAAACACAATGACTATTGACTAATTGGCCTGCCTCTAAAGGAATGGGATCCTATTTCTACAGTGGAAAGATGACTAAGGATAAATCACATAACCAATGATGCCCAGATAAAAGCATCATATATTGGCATTTGATTGGCAGCAAATGAGGCTGCCAATCAAAAAGCAACATGAAAATGTTTTCTATAGTCATGTTATTGTTTTTGTCAGATATTATTTAATATTTTAAAACTATTTCTTACAATCTAGTTTTGTGTACCTTTTTATTATTCTTATTTAATTATTAACTGTATGAAATAATAAAGCATCTTTTGAATATAAATTTTCATATTAAAATGGTCATTAAAAGAAATCAAACCAGTTGTTAAATTTTTTGAATCCAACCATTGTCTGTACTGACTAGGGGAGTGGTAGTCATACACTGTTTAATGTACTCTGGCTGAGGACAAGCCTCTTCACCCTGTCAATTAATGGTCAGAAGTAATGGTGATTTAATCCAAGTGGAAACTAAAAATAGGAGGTGGGGGCAGGAGTTTGGGGACTTTCACTTTAACTATAGTCTTCTACAGATTTAGTGCTTAGGTTTTGAACTCTAATATAATCCCTTCTTCTGATCATGGGTTTCATTAAAAATTCTTTGAGCATACTAGGGCAAGCGAATTTTCTCTGCATGGGTTACCTACTTTAGATGGCCACCTGTTTTTATGAGAAAACTTTAAGACCTTTAGAACTATTCTTCTGGATAGCTGGCACCATCATATTCTTCAATGTGTATTTTTATAGCACTCATACTTTCAGTTATCATCTCATGAGAGTAAGGCTACGTTATCAGAATTAATTGTTCTCAGATTAGAGTTTATGCCTCATGATGTGAGGTCAAAAATCCATTTGTTATGGTGTCACTTCAGAGACAGCATTTTAGCTATTCTGGGAAATAACATTATAAGCAAGCTTCATAAAATATTTGATAATTCTAATAGGCTAATAGTATAGATTTAAAACCCTAGTGAAAAGCTTTTTAGGCTAAAATATGTAGGAAAATATCATTTATAGAAATTGGGAAAATTTAAGTAGGAAATGTAGGAAAATATCACTTATGGAAATTGGGAAATTTTAAGTTCCAGAGCAATCCTGAAGAATGCAAGGAGCTCACGAGGTGCCGAAGGGATCAGTTATCAGGCATCAAAGAACAAAAAATCATATTATTGTGTGCTCACCTTCCTGATATGATTGCTGAAGACAAATGGGTACATAAGCAAATGTGGTGAAGAAAGCTGATGGTTCTCAGCTATCGAAAGATTTAGCATCTGGGGTCTTAAAGGCTTGAAGGTAAACAAGCGGCCATCTAGCTCAGAAGCAACAAAGCCCACATGGAAGAAGCACATGAGCCTGTGTGATCATGAGGTGTCGAAGGGATCAGGTATCAGGCATCATCAGAACAAAAAATCATATCATTGTGAATGAGGGGGGAATGCATCGTGGAGACCCAAAACCCATCTGTAGGCAACTGGACATCCCCTTGCAGAAGGGTTGCGGAGAAGAGAGGAACCAGTCAGGGTGCAGTGTGGCAACGATGAAACATATAACTTTCCTCTAGTTCTTGAATGCTTCTTCCTCCCACTATCATGATCCCAATTCTAACTTAAAAATCTGACTAGACCAGGGGATGTACACTGGTACAGATAGGAACTGGAAACACAGGGAATCCAGGGTGGATGATCCATTCAGGACCAGTGGTGTGAGTGGCAATACTGGGAGGGTGGAGGTAGGGTAGGTTGAAAAGGGGGAACTGATTATAAGGATCTGTATATAACCTCCTTCCTGGGGGACGGACAATAGAAAAGTGGGTGAAGGGAGACATGCAAGATATGACAAAATAACAATTTATAAACTATCAAGGGTTCATGAAGGAGAGGGGAGCAGGGAGGGAAGGGGGAGCTGAAGCCAGGGGCTTACATGAAGAGCAAATGTTTTGAAAATGATGAGGGCAATGAATGTACAAATGTGCTTTACACAATTCATGTATGTATGGATTGTGATGAGCCCTTAATAAAAAAATTTTTAAAAAAAGAATACAAGGAGCTAAAGGGTAAAATTTCAATAACTCTTGTTCACTTGGGCAAAACTATTCTGCAGAACCTACAACCAATAAAAATAAGCAACTAATATAACAATAGATAACAAATAGCCCTAAGTTGCCAATTATTAGGCAGCCTCAAAATTAAAAAAGAAGCCCTAATAATTAGAAAATAATTTCTTCTTTACAGAAATAGTTTTTTTCTTTAAAGATTTTTAATTGCTGGTACATTAATAGCTGCCAGTTCATCATATAGTGATTCTAAGCTTAGATCATAATTATTTGAAGTAAAGAAATATTCTGAATCAGATGAAAAACTACTCTTGTTTGTTCAAAATCTAATAAATATGTTTTATGTGTATTCCTCCCCCACCCCAACAGAATGGAGTATTAATAAACTAAGTGAAATAACTATTAGGAAATAAATGGAAGCAATCATCATTTTTATAGAAAATATTATTCATTAAATTGCATGACAAATGAAAATTGTCATGAAAAATACAGCTCAATTGTATAATATGTTCATTTATCTACTCATTTATTATGTACTTCTTACATGCCAGGCACAGTTCTAGATACTGTGGTTATAAATGCAACCAAACAAAGTCCCTGCAATTATGGATAGAGAAAGATAAAAATAATGAGAAATATAAATAAATAAGCATTAATTGTTGCACTGCTAATCACTGTCTGCTCTATGGGACAAAGATGAGACTGTCTGCTTCCGTAGAGATTTACCGTCTCAGAAACCCAAAATAGCAGTTATATTTTGTTATAGGGTCTTTATGAGTGAGAATCAGCCACACAACAGTGAGCGTGTAGAAATATAGTTATGTAATATATCCAAGGATAATGAATGCTTTAAATAAAAGTAAAATAGGTAACAACAGGTAAAATGCCATATAGCAAAGTCTGATGAAGGAAGGTCTCTTATAAGATACTGTATACGAGGGAGTACCCACCAAAAAACTGGAATTTTTCCCCCAAAAGATATGTATTTAAATTTTTTACAAAACAACCTTATCGCCTTCAAAGTATTCTCCATTACACTTAATACATTTGTAAAATCTGCTATTCCATTCTTGGAAACAGTTTTGAAACTCGCCTGTTTGGATGGCTGACAGCATCTTCCTCGTGTTTTTTTTCTATTCACCTCTTCAATCTCATCAAATCGCTGTCCCTTCGTGTCCCTCTGCATTAGAAGAAACAAAATGAAGTCACACAGAGTGATGTCATGTGTGTAAAGTGCATGAGGCAAGAGAGGCATGCTGTTTATTGCCAAACACTGGTGCACTGAGATGGTTCCATGAGCAGGTGAATTGTCATGGTGGGAAAATCAGTACCCCATCTGTAACAAATCAGGCCCTTTTTGTCACACACTAGTATGCAATCTTTTGGAACCTCTAAATAGAAATCTTTATTAACAGTCTGATTTGGTGAAATGAACTACAGCTGCACTACGAGTCAACATTTTTGTCCATTCGGGAAGTTGAAGGACATCCAGAATGAAATTTGTCATCAACGAACATTTCACTTTTTTAAAAAATTTAATTTAATATATTTATTTTTTAAATAATTTTTCTGGCTTGTACAGCTCTTATCACAATCTATACATACATCCATTGTGTCGAGCACATTTGGACAATTGTTTCCCTCATCATTCTCAAAACATTTGCTTTCTACTTGAGCCCTTGGTATCAGCTCTTCAGTTTTCCCCTCCCTCCCCATCCTCATCCCTCATGAACCCTTGATAATTTATAAATTATTATTGTTTTGTAATATCTTACACTGTCTGATGTTTCCCTTCACCCACTTTTCTGTTGTCCATCCCCCAGGGAGGAGGTTATATGTAGATCCTTGTAATTAGTTCCCCCTTTCTATCCCACCGTCCCTCCACCCCCCGATATTGCCACTCTCACCACTGGTCCTGAGGGGATTATCTGTCCTGGATTCCCTGTTTTTCCATTTCCTATCTGTACCAATGAACATCCTCTGGTCTAGCCGGATTTGTAAGGTAGGATTGGGATCATGATAGTGGTGTGGGAGGAAGCATCTAGGAAGTAGAGGAAAGTTGTATGTTTCATCGTTGCTATACTGTGCACTGACTGACATGTCTCCTCCTCGTGACCTTTCTGTAATGGAATATCCAGTTGCCTACAGATGCGCTTTGGTCCCCACTACACACTCCCTCTCATTCACAATGATATGATTTTTTGTTCTTTGATGCCTGATACCTGATCCCATCGACACCTCGTGGTTACACAGGCTGGTATGCTTATTCCATGTAGACTTTCTTGCTTCTGAGCTAGATGGCTGCTTGTTGATCTTCAAGCATTTAAGACCCCAGATGCTATATCCTTTGGTAGCCAGGCATCATCAGCTTCCTTGACCACATTTGCTTATGCACCTGCTTTGTCTTCAGCGATTGTGTT